TCCTGTTCCAACATGACTGCGCACCAGTGCACAAAGCAAGGTCCATAAACGCATGGCTGAGCGAGTTTGGGGTGAAGGAACTTGTTTGGCCTGCACAGAGTCCTGACCTCAACCCGATAGAACACCTTTGGGATGAATTCGAGCGGAGACTGCAAGCCAGGCCTTCTCGTCCAACATCAGTACCTGACCTCACAAATGCGCTTCTGGAAGAATAATCAAACATTCCCATAGATACACTCCTAAACCTTGTGGACGCCTTCCCAGAAGAGTTGAAGCTGTTATAGCTGCAAAGGGTGGGCCAACTCAATATTGAACATTACGGACTATGACTGGGATGCCATTAAAGTTCATGTGCATCTAAAGGCAGGCGTCCCAAAACTTTTGGCAATATAGTGTATCTTTCCATACAGCTTACCCATTAGAAAACTAAGATTTGATTGCCTTGATTTATTTATTTTTTATAGACATATATCATGACCTGGATGAATGAGATCCTTCACAGACATATTGTAACACATTTTGGGGAACAAAAACCCTTAAACCTGTACGAGAATATGAAATTCTGAATTGAGAAAGCAAGCAGCATGACCAGCGAAACATCTTCAAGAAAAATACAGTAAGTCCAGTTGCCTTTATTTTTATTTTTTACAGACACACAAGTCCAGGATAGGTTCCTACTAATAGTAGTAAGGCCGTTAATATGCTATTTTAAACATTGTTGGTGCTCAGGAAAAAAGTATCTTCAATATTTAGCTGGTCAGGAGAACTTGCCTGAAAAAAACTATATTAAACCAGTATTATAGTAATAAACAGAAGAAGAAGGTAAATCATTGGACACTTTTTATGAGCACACTTTCTGAAGACCACAGTGGACACAAGCCAGATTACAAAGGATGTAGTAGATCATTGTCAGAGAGATAATGAGTATGTTTGCTATAAACAAGCTGTTAGCAAAGTTTGAAGAGGTAGAACACATTGGTGTTTAGGGAAAGATTCTTGGCTGCACTGAGTGGAAAGCAAACCATGCAGGTCTTGAGGTAAAGTTCAGTCCGTGTTGTAAAGCTTTGATTGGGGAAGCGGGTTTGGCTAGCAACATTGTTTGAAAAAACACTCAAAAAAGTAGCCTGCCAGGTACGAAGATTTAACACTATTTTAGGCACTCCAAAAACTTTTATTTTTATATGCATTCATAGATGTTTTGTTCATTTTAAAATTATAATGGGACGCTTAAAGCTGCAGTGTGAGAAGAAGTAGCAGCACAATGAGTATTCAATCAGTAAATGTACTGACAAAAATAATTCTGAAAGGAGGAGAAAGCAGAATAAGCATAGAACAGAGAAATTAGCTCATCATTGAGCTGCTTCTCCTTTCACTGTCCAGTCACAGGCTGGGGGAAATGCAAGGTAACCTGGGCTCAGAGGAAGTGGGTTGAATAATGCTGGCCCTCAGACTGAACATCTTGTAGCAGAAAAAAGTACTGCAGGGGAAATCTCTTAATTGAAGCTGAATATCTCAGCAAAATCTGGTTTTGTTATTTTAGCTATGGGCTATTTGTTTGTATCATATTTTTGGCTAGAGTTGCGATTTAACCACCTCCTGACCAGCAACTGTAGTTGAATGGCTGGTAATGGCAGCTATTTTTCTAAATTCTATAAAAGTCCCTGTTTGTACCACACCGGGTGTACACACAATGCCTGCGATCACACAGTCATTACACAGCGCAGATCACAGGCAAAATCCAAAAAGCCAATCAGTGTGGTTCTGTGTCTTGTAATAGCTATAAGCCAATCACAGCAATCACAAGTGTGTACACACAGCCAACCCTTCACTTCCTCTCACAATGGCGGATGACGATTTTCTATGCTTTCTATAAAAAGTCATCATAAGGGCACTGATGCAACAAAAGTCTCTGAAAATGTCTGTAGAGATCTATAATTTTCTGGAATATTTCTAATATTATTATTATTATTATATACCACCAAAAATGCACTATATGTCTGCAAAACAAAATAATATAAAATTCAACAATTCGTTTGTGTAGACCAAGTGTGTTTGTGCATGACCAAGTGATTGTCAAAAACTATCACAGCACCGAAAACTCAAAACTGACCTGGAAGGGAAGTGGGTGTAGCATGCTGCTATTGAGGTGGTTAAAGCATATTTTTCATAAACTGTTTTCACCATTTCAGTTTAGCAGCATCACTGGCCAACTGTACCACATGCTGTTTATTTATATCACTTGGGTACTTAATTGCCTAATTATGTCCAACAGAATTCTCAGTCATTACCCAATGGAGTCGGCCATAATGTAGAACAATCAAATTATTGGGGAATGCAAGGCAAATGGACTTTTGTGTGACCTTGTAGCAGAGGGTGGAGACAACCCAGTGTAGGAATTTCACCACAAAAGTCTCCAAGATACAGTATATTAAGCTGGTTTAAGATATTCAAAGCATCCGTGCCTACGCAATAGTGCAAGAACTGTTTTGATGGAACTGACTTAATAACATTATGACATAGGTTAAAAAAAAAAAAAAAAGCATAGATCTACGGAATTTAAACAAAAGATACAAATAAATGAATTAAAAGCCTTGCGTCCTCAAAACTCTAAACCTGCAGCTGATCCAGAAGAAGGCAAACACCCCTTCTAGAGTATGATACTATATCAAAGGCAAATGGACACTCTCTGGATTCCATTTTGTTTTTTTTATGAAAATCTTTTTCTTTCAGATGCAATCAGGTTTATCAAATTCCTATATTCTTCAGCACCATCTAGGGGCACTAGTGCCATGCAAATGCCATCTATATGATGAGGATTTGTAAAAAAAAACGAAATAACGGCCCCTTTTTATTTTGCCTTAAAAGTGAACAACTCCACACAAAATAGTCCAAATGCGATTTTATGGGCGGATTCCGCACGTTCTGGCTATAGTAATAGCCGCAAATGTGCAAAACGCTATTGCTATGTGTGAACGGAGATTTAGATAATATGAAATCACCTGCACTCCATACAGCGTACAGACCTTGGGTGAGAGGTTGGTGCTCGAAGTGACAACACGGATGGCGCCGTGTCAGATACAGTCCATAATAGAAGTCACCAGCACTCGATGATGTGTGCAAGAAGTAAAGCACTTTTTATTAAATCGTCACATGCGTCAAACAGCCAACGTTTCGGGGCCACATAGTCACTACGTGCTTTACTTCTTGCACATATCATCGAGTGCTGGTGACTTCTATTATGAATGGAGCTTTATTCATAGATTTTTCGGCAGGCAAGTTTGCTCCAATCTGATATGAGGAGATGACAGCAGGTTGAATTTATCTTTAATTTCAACAGCAAGAATCCAAGCAGTGAAGTGTGTGACTTCACTGCTTGGATTCATAGGAGCTGAGCTAGGAACTTTGGTGTAGAGCTCTTGACCTCAGAGTCTGTGAGAGATATAAGAGCCTAGTAGATCATTGAATCCATCACTCAGAACAGGAATGCATTTCTATTTTAGATGGACTTAGCACTTGATACTTTCACCTGATTTTAAACAACATTTTTGTATCAGTTTTCCTTTATATAGCTAGACACATACTAGTAAGAAAATGTTTAATATGAAGCACTGAGATTTATTGTAAAAAATGTTGAAAATAACTGGGTGGAACAAAATCATTGAAAAGTATGTTAAAGTACAGCATAAAGCCTATATCTGGGGGGAGGGGGACACTACCCTTGGAGTATGGATACCCCCACACTGCGAGGGCTAGCTGCAAGTTTATGTCTAAGGGAGGTCGTTTATTACAGGGCTATAGGCGCTATTGATTTGCAGGTTCGTCCGAATCCGAATGCACATGTCTAATGCACAAATACTTTACATTGTTGTTAATAGTTAGGCCTGGTTCACACCTATACGTTTTGTAGCGCGTTCAATGCTCTACGAACGCTCTACAAAACGCTCAAACATAAAAATCCCATTGTTTTCTATGGGTATGGTTCACACCTTGCCGTATTTCAGCCCGCCTGAATGAGCTACAAAACGGCCCACGCCTGAAAAGGTACATGAGCTTCTTTGCGGCGTTTTTGTTGCACGTTTCCATTGGGATACAGCCAAGTAGCCCTCGGAAACGCGTGTCTGTCGCACGTTTTTTATACCGCGAATCGCTGTAAAAACGCGCACCACGAAACGTGCGACAAGCGCGCATATTCGATACGCCTAGGTGTGAACAGAGCCTAAAAGAACAGTTCGCTCTTGAAGTGAAGGGGTAGCCCTACTACGATGTTGGATTTTGTTTTCTGGCTTTGAGGCTCCCCTATGACAGTCAAAACAAGTTCCAAATCCAGTTACTATGTGATGTACAAGCCTCATAAAGTAAACACAACGTTTGCTTTGCCTTCCCCAATGGAGCCAAATCCTCTTCATTTGCGTCTCACACAATTTCCCTCCCAGGGACTGCAGCTCACAGTGGGAGGGTTTCAGTAACAGGACCATTGCTGTCAATCCAGAAAGCAGTGGGCAGGATGAGGTGTGGCCAGTTGCTGATTGACAAGCTACAGGCTTGTGAATCAGTAGAGACAATGCTTATAGTCATACCCCCTGCAACATATTGTTTCATTGCACGGTACTGCAAGCAGGCACAGCCTACATGAGCGTGGAGCAGTGCAGTGTTCTTGCCACCACAACACAGGAAGCTGCATTAGATGGACTTCTCTGGCAGGATCAAGACGTTTTTGTGAGATTTTGCAGGGGAACTAAGAGAAAACTGCAAGTGCAGATCATTCAGTGCTGAAGCACTTTTTATGTGGGAGGCCATAGTTCTACTATAAAGTAATAAAGAAATAGCCCACAGTACAAAATGTTCATCAGGTGGTGATTAATGTACATGAAAAGTAGGAGATAGAACTGTTCTGGGCTTCAAATCCCATATGAATTTAGTATAATCTTCACAGTAAATCCACTCATATTTTCGAGACAGTGACAGTGATATTCCTGATTGAATAACTTTATTAGCCCAGCAACAAGTTAAACTTGTATGCTTTGTTTTCACCTCTGTTCTGTTTTGGTTGTGTCTGCAGGTCGTACTTTCTTTTTGCCATCATTGATTTCAAGGTTTTTATAACTAGGCCAAACAGTGGATGGAAACTGCCATTCAGAATTAAAACTTGTAACATTTAGAACAGAGCTGTCCATAGGTTGGATACTTGGAACGTCACTGTTCTTATTCCAGTTTTGATCTAAATCTTCAAAGTCCCACTGTAAAAACAAAAGTATCAGTTTGTGTATTAGAGATATGAAATGATTGTACAAATCATTGCAGATCATATATTGTTCTTAACACAATAACAATTGTCAGTACTGATCCTCAATGAACTGCATTATTCTAAATTAAAAAATTTAATAAATATATAAACTAAAACCTGTAAACTTTACAAAACAGATAATTAAAGATATAATATATATTTTCATTATATAAATACCCAAAAACTCATACCAATCAGGAAGCCGGGTCATAAGGTGCTGTCCAGCTTCCTGATTGGTCAGGAGGTCAGCAGCAAATTAAGCCGGCTTCCTAGCCGATCAGGAAACCGGTCGGCACGTCATGACGCGCCTCCTGATTGGCTAGGAACCGGTTTCACTTGTTGCTAGGCAGCCTGGTTTCCTGACCAATCAAGAAGCCGGGAGGCAAGTCATTATGTGCCGCTCGGCTTCCTAATTGGTTAGAAAGCCAAGCTACCTAGCAACAAGTGAAGCCGGCGTCCTAGACAATCAGGAAGTCGGGAGGCTGGTCATAAGCCCACCACCCGGCTTCCTGATGGGAAAGGAAGCCTGCTCCATGCTCCCTCGGCACTGCCGGTCAGAGGGAGATCTCCCTCGGACTAGAAGTTATGGTATCGGAGGGAAGTATTGGAGCATTTTGACTCAAATACTCGGTATCGGCAGTGATACCGATACTAGTATCGGTGCATCCCGAATAAATACATGAATAAAACTTTTTAATAGTGGTTTAAACAGACATATTCAGATTTGCTAAACTAATGCTTTTATAGCAAAGATCCCTACATGTTGGACCGCGGTCCGGATCTGGACCGAGTAGCAGTTCTGCAATCGCCGCATGTCTCCCTCTTCAGTCATTGGCTGCTTGGACCGCAGTGTTCCTAGCAACCAACGACATCAGCTTTCTACCCTGCTCAGTATCAGGGGAGGAAGGAAGAATATCGTCTTCCATCCTCCCCAGCAGCCCAAAGTCTGCTCTTATCCCATCTCCCATCTCTTTCTAGCACCGCCTCCCTGGTCCCAAGGCTCCATGTTAAAGTGACAGCAGCATTAAAAGAGCACTCTGTGTGGACAACCTGTGTAAGGGGACACTCTGATGGGAACAATTACTTATTAGTTGTCTTCATCAGAGTGGCCCCTTACATTAGTTGCTGCCATCAGATTGCCCCCTTACATTAAATACAAAATTAAGGCGGCACTCTGATGGGGACAAACAATGTAAGGGAGGCACAATATTATATTAGGTGTCCCTATCAGAGTGCTACCTTACATTGCTTGTCCAGATGAGAGTGCACCATTATTTTTGTATTTAATGTAAGGGGGCACTCTGACGGGGTCATCTAAAGTAGGGCACCCCGATGGCAACACCTAATGTAAGGGGACACTCTGATGGGGACACCTACTGTAATGAGGCATTCTGATGGGGATACCTAATCTAAGGAGGCTGTCTGATGGGGACACCTAATGTAAGGGAGCACACTGATGGGGACACCTAATCTAAGAAGGCTGTCTGATGGGGAGACCTACTGTAAGGGAGCACACTGATGGGGACACCTAATCTAAGGGAGCACACTGATGGGGACACCTAATGTAAGGGAGCACCCTGATGGGGACACCCTTCACTTCACATCTAGACTGTGTAAAGTGTGTGTGTGTGTGTGTGTACAGTAGATTACATCAGCTCTGCCTCCGCCCATCAGTCAGTCAGGGACTGCTGCACACGCAGATGGGGCATGGACTCCGCTCCGCCCCTAGTGACAGTTATGCAACAGGAAACACCTCTGGGAGAGGTGCACATGCCTATAAGGCATGGAGAAGAGCTCCGTCTGATGGTTAACATGATTGCAGTGAGAAATTAACCGGAGGCTGGTGACTGGCCCAATATCTTAAAGATACAGCACACCTTGGCATATAAATAAGAGCAACCACCATATTGTATGGACAGAAGGTGTATGCATCCAACAGATGTATGGATAATATTATGTAGCACTGTAATATTAATACTGGATAGGATATGCATGTAATGCTGTGTAAGAAACGGCTCTGTTAAAAATAACATAGCAGTGCGGTGCCTGTTTATACACACGTGTTTTACACAGTCTAGGAAGATAATGACGTGTGTTATGATGGTTATGCAATTATGTTGTTCTAGATATGTGTGCTGCATTTACATTTGGTTTCATTTTTGAATTTATGTCAGGATAATAATGTCGGTATGACGCCATGGGAGGAGCCGAGCAGTGTGATAGGCTCTGGGGTCATGTAACTGTGTATTTATGTGTATGATTTCACTTGCACTGTATCACATGTCTTGCCTGAGGAAGGGGATCCTGCGTGTCCCTCAAACGTGGCACTTGTGTGATATGTCACATTCACGTCAATTAAGATGCATCATATCTGTAATTGGAGTGCCGGTGTCCTATTCATATCATGTGCCTGTGACGGTGCCATACATCGACCACCGCTGCACCCACCTGCTCATTCTTGGATAAAGTGGTCAAGTGGTCAAACTTAATGAAGTGTTACTTGTGACATTTCAATACAGCTCTAAAAAAATAAATAAAAGTGTGATGCTGCGGGATCAGTGCATCAGAACACACTCCAGCAGCTGTGCATTGCAGTCTAAATGGCGGACTGTGGTTCTGTCCAGACCACAATTCGGACCACGGCTTGAAGAAAATTTTGGTCACTGGACCTCTTTGAATTTTAATTCACAACCCCTGTTTTATAGCATAAATCTTATATGAAAGCCAAACCCACGAACAAACAAATGTAATATATTGCAGCTTACCAGGCTTAAGACGTGGTGGCTGCATTCTTTTTCTGTTTTTTTTCTAAGAACATTTTCAGCAAGTACCGAAATTAACTGTTGATCTTGCCAGAAATGTCGTGTCCTTGTCACTTGTTGAGAGATTAACTGGAAGCAAAAACAATGTTATCTTCCATCTGTAAATTACTAATACCACATGTACTAAAGAGGAAAATAGGCAGACATGTTTAAAGTCTAGCCTGCGTGACAACCATGGCTCCCTCTATAGATACAGTGGAGAAGCGAGCGTAGCCCCTCAGGGACAGGAAGTGTGGCATTTGCATGATTACAAGGTGAAAATATAGGGGGGCGGGAAATAAAACTGACAGTCAACTTATCATGGACTGGTTAACAGCAATATATTACATTTTTGTTTATGGGCTTAGATATACATGGATTGCAATGATTTCCAATATTTAACTGGCACACCTGGCTTCTCTTGTCCAATGGTTTTCATTGGTTAGGTAGACTAGAATCCAGTATCTCAGACATAATGGTTTTCACAGGGCATCCCTTTATCTGACTTGTGAGTTGGGAATATTAGGCTTCACCGGTCTTAGCAGTACTGGGAAAATCTGAAATATTAGTTCCTCACCTCAGCTTAGGAGGGAACATGCAGGAGCAGACAACATTAAGTTAGTGAATACCCTCTGACTAGGAGAAGTAGGGCAGCCGTTCCTGCTTCTAGTATGACACCCCTGGGTCCCGACAATCTTGCTTTGCATTAAATATATTGGGTTGCAGGTGGACGAGATTTCTTTTTATGCATAGTGCTCATTGCAGGCTGATGGACACCCTAGCTGACCCACTTTCCTATGTGTATTTGTTTTTTTATTGTTTTAAGCGTTTGAAGTTTTATTCATTCTTTTTATGAAGGATCACTTTTGAGGTTATGCACAGCTCCAAATGTCTGTTTCTTTACCACTCTTCCCCCCCTTTTCCTTCTTTACCTCTCTTTTCCCCTCCCTACTTTGCTTCTTCACCTACCTTTTTCTCTCTCCGGTCTCTCTCCTCCCCATTTCCTGAAACTGTCAATTTATGTACCCATCGATGACATAAGTATGATCTATATCTGCAGTTGATTGGCCATACGGTCGTGATACTACCCGATGGAATATCTTGTATTGACACCTTTTTTTGCTCCTACAAACATATGTATTTATATTGACTTCTTGTAACATTGAAAAAACTTGAAATAAAGATAACTTTTTAAAAAGTTAGTCAATACTATGATGGGTCAGAAGAAGGTACAATTTGTGTGTGAATAATCCCTATAATAAGTAAATAGAATGTAAACCATCACACGTGCTTTTGCATCAGCTTAATAGAATAACTGCCAAGTCTACAATACTTGCAAACCTGCAGAAGTAGATGGTGCCCCCAGAACCTCAAGCTACAGAGCACACATGGGGCAAATAGGAAAATATCTGAAAACACGGCTACCTGTAATAATAATTTTCACATATTGACATTCTTACTATCATATTTTATTATTGTATTAAATATAGAGATTTGTTGATTGGCCACCATTGGTAGAATAGATTAGCCACTACATTAATTGCTCCTCCTGGTTTAACAACCATTGAGATAAGATATCGGCTATAAAGGAAGGACATTTTCTAGTTTTCAATGAGTTGGGCAAAGCAATCCCAAGCTGGAGGCAGATCCAGCATATGCAGTGAGTAATATGGTGCCGCAGTATACAGGTATAATTACAAATTATACGCCAACAAAACCTCACATTGATAAATTAGTTTAAATTAAGCAGGTCAGTTTTACATTTCTAAAAATGTAATTCCTTTTGAATTACTTTTAAACCATCTAGAATGTGATATATAATGTTCAGTTTCCAATGTTCTCATGTAGAAATCCATAAACTGAGATGGCAAGAGTAGGTCATGATTTTTAATGGTTTAATTTAGAATTCTAATCTTTTATAAAGTTCCATCTACATACATTATGTGACAACATTTTGGACTAGGTCATCAGTCATAAATGAAGTTAATAAATGGAAAATATGCACAGAGTTGAGGGAAAAATTATGTTGGGCAAATCTTCAAACATTTTCCACTATTTCCCCAGGGGTAAACATAACAGGACCCTCAACTTCACTTCACTTTCCCGAGAGGACACTTTCTAGGGCCTTTCAATAGGGCCATTCTCTTCACAG